TGTGTGTGTGTGTGTGTGTGTGTGTGTGTTTGTAATGGTATTTGCCTTTGGAATGGAAAAGGAAGGAACCTCTGGACAGGAAAACATATGAGATGCTTGCAGGGGTACTAGCATGAAGGAGGGGAGAGGGGGTAAGGCAGGATTATGAAAGGCACTTTGAACAGGGGGTTAAATTGCATCATAAAGTACTATCTTTAATAAAAACAAACAAAAGCCTAACAATGGATATAGGAAGACATAATATAAAACATGTGAGTTATCTTCTCTGCAGTGTTAAAAAAAAAATAAAAGCATAAGCAACCCTCCTGAAAGGGGAGAGGGAGGCCGGAGCATGGCTTGATAAATAAGATACTATGTGCAATTGCCTTCTACTGACACATAGTAGGGATACAGTAAGTAGTACTTCTCTTGCTTTCTTAGAAGCTGGAATAGAGTAGAGGATATTTTGGAGGTCCCTGCTGGCCTGAGAATCTGTGGACCAATTCTAGGACTGTTAATTTTTTTTGATTCTTGGTGTCTCCCCATTCACACATGCAGGAAGGCGTTTCTACTCTCAAACTTTACCCCATTTTGTTGAAATTAAGACATGTAAGCAACTGTCCAACCATCATTCCTTGGTGTTCTGGAGTACCAGTTAGCCAGGTACCCTACCTATCTGTGATACAGGATTTAGCTTTTATACACAGTCAGTAAAATAGACACCCCAGAGAGGTCAGACACATAAGTTACACTGTTACACTGTGTAACCTTTCACAGTTACACTGTTACACTGTGTAACCTTTCACAGTTACACTGAAACAGATGTAAAGGGTTTTCCTAAGTGCGTGGCTGTTTTAGGGTTTGATGTTCTGCCCTCTAGTAGGGAGAGGAAGGATCTTGGGTTATGATGTGGTGTTGAACTCATGCCAGTCCTAGCCTGTTGGGAACAGTGCTGTTCCAGGGAGCTGGGTGAGCCTAGAGTTACAGTGCTGAGTGGTGAGGGTTTGGGGCATTCCTGTCGTTGGCTCTGGCTCATGTGCTAAAGGTCCTTCTACCTTTTACTTTGTACTTTCTCTCAAGCAGAGCACATGCTGTTTGGCAAGGCATCTCTTTCTCTCATTCACAGCATACCAGAGGCCCCTTTGTTTAAAGCATGCCTTTCCTGAGTAGAAAGAGCCAGTGTCTTCCCAGGTCTCATCCCAACTGGGCTTGGATCTGGCTCCCTTTTGCCAACCCTTCTCCACTCTCTTACGTTAGTTCCCAGCATTCCTCTCACTTTTCCCTTTGCACTTATCTTGATCTCCATTCTTAATAACACTGACTTCTGTGGGATGTTATTTAATATCAGCCATAATTTGATTTTCCCTGTGTGTTCCTTTGTCCCTATTTATTATATCATCGTGATGACATTATGAGACTTTAAAGTATAGGAAGACTGTCTGTGTAATTTCTCTGTACGATACCCAGACAGACAAGGAAGAAAAGCTTATGGTTGTGCCCTTATATCCAGGTGCCTCTTCTATCAAAGCCTCATCCCACAGTCTCATCTTTGTGGTCTTCTCCCATCGCTGCCCAGTCCTTCCCTCCCTGGCTTACCCACTCCACTTTTTCATAATTCTGTAACTTGGGCTATTTTTACGATCCTCTCCATTTTTCATAATTCTGTAACTCAGACTATTTTTATGCTTAATTCCAAACATAAAACACTCAAAATATTATTAAGGGGGAGGAGGAGCCCTTGGTTTAAGAAGGCAGCAGGCTGCACAAGTCAGAGCTTGAGAAGTGCATACAAATGAGCTGGAGGAGCCCACAGTAGACAGGAGAGCTTGGAACAGGGAATCCTCCTTGATTAGGGAAGCCTTCCTGAAGGAGGAAAAGACTGGGCTGGGCTTGAAAACAAAAACAAAAACAAAAAGGAAGGGTCAGAAGGGAAGCCTAGATGATGAAGCATGTGCCCAGCAGAAGTTGGTGTGCCCGCAGGTACAGCAGGAGCAGGTTTGCTTTGCCACCCCCAGCACAGTGAGCATTGGAGAGTCACAACATAAAGCCCAAGCTCCACCACTTATACTGAGGAATCAGGATTTGCCACTAGGATAATAATGGTCTGCTGCTGGCCCTTGAAAAGGGGGAAGGTCAGGGTTACGGTGAAGGTTAATGTTGTTCATTGGAAAATGTCCAGGTGGAAAACAGAGGCTCCCAGGAGTTACTTCTGTCCTGAATCTGACCAGAGACCTGGTCAATGACATGAATGGGGTGTGGGGAGAAGTTGGAGGTGGAGGATGCCTGGGTGGGGAGGGGGTGAACATACAGGGAGCACATTGTTCCTCAGAGCTTGCATCACAGACTTCTCTCCTTTGAACAAAACCCTCTGTTTTCAACTGGGCTGATTCATCTCTCCCCATCCTCCTTCTTCACCTTTGGAGTGCCTACATCCCAGACAGACCTCTCTGCTGCTAGTGGCTGCAGTTACAGGAGAGGACAACTCCACTAGGCAAGGACTCCTGGCTTCTTTCCTTCATGTTTCTTTGCCTGTTCCCACACCCTTCCCAGATCTTAAGCCAAACAAAGGGAGCTGGAGAGGAGCCTTTCAGATTCCCTTCCTTTCAGGTTGGATGACCCTTGACTCATTTTTAACGCACGTAGAAGTGGTAGGTTTTCCTGGATGTTCACAGTCTATTTTACTGTCCAAATCTCTGTCCTCACTCTTTTCCTCAGTATCTGTGGATTAGGGGGAGGTGGTAGCTGGGGTGGAGTAGAAGAGTGGATTCTTCAGGAATGCTGAAGTCCTGAGATCCATACTACATCTTCAGAGAAGGTTTGTGAGATCTCAGGCTTAGGAGTTCATATAGTTCTGGGGCTAATTTCCTATCTTGGGAACCCTGGGAAGACTGGAAAGGCAAGTTTCCTGAGAAAGGGGGTTAGTGTATACAAACCGCTCTGTGGTATGCACGCACGTGCGTGCACATGCATGTGCACTTGTTTATGTGTGTCTTAACACATGGCCATGTTTGCACTGTGATTGGAGTCAGTGTTGTGATAACGACAGCAGACTGAGAAGAGAAAGTCATCAGAGGCTAAGCAGCAAGTGCTTTTCTACCAGCTGTGCCCCCACAGACTTGCACAAGCTGAAGCAGGAAAGCCCCCAAGGCAAGATATCCCATCCAATCTGCCTTCTTACCAGAGCCAAATGGAAGGAAAATGATGCTTACTAGGTGCTACGCTCTGCTCTAATTTTTAGCTAAAAATATTTATGGATTTATTGAGTGTATGTGTGTGCCACAGGTTCACGAGGAGGTCAGAGAGCAACTTTCAGGAGTCCATTCTCAAGTCCATTCTCTCCTGCTATATGGGTCCTGGGGACTGAACTCTGGTCATCAGAGTTGGTGGCAAGCATCTTTACTTGCTAAGTTATATCCCCAGTCCCTGGTCTACTCTGCCCATATATTTCTTCACTAAGTTAAACCCTCATAAAAACCTGTATACTGTACTTAAAAATCCAACATCTCTGTTAACAGCGAATGGAGTTAGAGATAAACTCACTTCTGACTTCAGAATTCTGGCATATTCTAAGACAGTACACTGTACTCCCATTCCAGAAATTTCTTATATCCATGGGCAAAAATGCTGACGGCAGTCACAGTTTATACGTGGTCATGTGTTAAGGCACACATTAACAGGAGCAAGCACACACACACAGCATTGTGAAACTGTAAGCAAAGCTGCATCGTCTGAGGGGTGAGATAGTCAAGCACTATTGGAATTCTGAGAAAGGAAGAATTAGGATGGATGGTCATGAAAGCCTCATGGAGGTGACAAAATTTTAAGGGAAAAATGTAAGACTAGAACATTCTGTATGAACGGAATGGCATCTCTGCTGGTTGATTTTCTTTTCTCTCAGCTTGACACAAGCTAGGGCCATTTTGGAAGAGGGAACGGCAACTGAGGGCCCAGCTCAGTATGGGTGGGCCACCCCTGGGAGGGTGGTTTTGGGTAGTGTAAAAAAGTGGGCTGAGCAAGCCATGGCGAGCAAGCTAGTAAGCAGCATTCACCCATGGCCTCTGCTTTAGTGCCTGCCTCCCAGGTTTCTTCCTTGAGCTCCTTCCCTGACTTCCCTCCATGATGGACTGTGATGTGGAAGCATAAATGAAATGAACCTTCCCTCCTAAGTTGCTTTTGGTCATCGTGTTTATCCATGTTTAATAGAGAGCAAACTAGGACAGGATGTAACTATGGAATCAAGAAAGCACAAGACGTTTTGTTTACTCTAAACAGAGCGTTTTAGGGTCCAGGATGATACATTATCCCACTGGACTTCTCAACATATCAGATATATGGTAGAAAACTAGATATTTAGTCTTGGAAAACTGAGGCAGGTTTGCTGTGAGTCTGAGGCCATTCTGGGCTGCAGAGTAACACTCTCTCTTTAAAAATGAAAAAGTAGGTTGTCTGTGGAGGTACACGTGTAAAGTAGCAGCTCTTGGGAGATAAAGACAGGAGAACTGTTGCAAGTTCAATCCCAGCCTGGTCTATAATAGGAAGTTCCAGGTTAGGCTACAGAGTGAGACACACCACGCAATACACTAAGCAAGGAACAAAGCAAGACATAGAACCATGGGCTCCATGGGAGAGGTTGACATGACAACCACAACTGTTCAAATGAGACTGTCCTGGAGACAGTGGGCTGTTGGCTCGGAAAGGAGATGAAGAGCAAGGTGATCGTCCACAGCGCCATTGTAGAAAGGGAAGAGGAAGATTAAACTAAAGCAATGGCACTGGGTTAGGAACGACTGGGTGGGGGAGCCAGTGTCACCACAGCATGGGAAGAGTGACGGTGGTGGACTCTGACAGGGTGGTGGTGTTGAGTATGATTATGATGGAGAAAGA